GCGCGCGCGTACTACTGCTCCGCCGCCGCGCGTGCACTTCCCCTTTCTCCGGGCGCGCTTTCCTGCAATGCCAAAGACGCGCTCCGCCTGGCCACTGCCCGGGATCCTGACCAAGCCAAACACCAACGTCGAATTCAGCCTCTGCGGGGCTATTCTAGCGGGCGCTTGCCCAGGCGGCTGGGAAGACGTCTAAAAAGTTTTGTAACTGTCGAAAATTCAGGGATAATTTAGAAAATACGATCTATGCAATCTTTAAAATTGCATTTCACACTATTCTTGAAAGATATTTGAAGAAAAAAATTGAAGGCATTTTTGAGAAAATTTTGAAGATGTTATATGAGTATGAAGATTATATAGATAAAGATACCTCTTTCACCCTATAGTCACATAACTGTAAATTTTAAGTATATTTACGCAGTATTATTAAATGTAGTGTTTTATACAGTAATCTTTATATTGAAAAATACAAAATAAATAATATGTAAAAATATTTTAACATTAAATTTTTAATTTGCGCAGATTATAGTTTATATTACGTATACTCAGTTTCATTCCAGCATATGTTTATTGAGGGGTTTCAAGGTTCGGTCGTACGGTGTATAAGGTATTTATCCAGCGTATTAATAATATTAAATATATTCATGAATTTGATATTGAATGTTGCAATTTGAGCATACTCGATTCTCTCTCTCGTCACTTGTACCATTCCGTCTCAGTCAGGGCCTACCAGCGGTACGTGACTCGTGCATGCCCTTTGTCTACCTTGTTCTGCAACAGCCCAATTTCGGTGTGCGAGGTCCACGGGCTTATTTTCACGGGAATTATTTCACTTTAACACAAGACCGCGGAGCACTTGTTTCAGCTATCTAGTGTATCAATTTACATTAGGGCTTAAAATATTTACGACGATAAAAATATATAAACGATTGAGATACCAGTCGTTGGAACAAGTTCATGCAGACTGTATGCAATCACTTTCGTTAATCAATAATCAGTACAAACTTTTATCTGTTACAGAAAGAAACAGTTTGTTTAAACACATTCACTCGCACGAAACGTTTGGAAACTCGTACTTCCGTTGAAGATCCGGCGTTCCAGTGATTGCCAGTTTACATTCACACGCGTACGTCGGAAATTCCTACGCTTCCTTCACCGAGCGGGACTTCCCTGCTTTTCCAAGGACGCGGAGCGTTTTATCTCGCGCGTAAAGTTTGTGCCACGGGCATTCGTTGCGAGGGCCCGGTGCAATGAGCAACACCCCGACACACAATCAAACAAGTGCTCTCATATGTGCACATAATTCTACGCCGAGTAAGTTATTCTCACAATTTCGTTTTCCCTGCCTCTGCTTGAAACTTCCTACAACTATAAACAATTATTTGAGTGACCCATACGTAGTTACATTGATTATTTCACAATCACCCTATGGTCCATCCGATGTTCAGTTTTTTGAACAGGGCCTTGTGGGTCTTTACGTTTACCCTTGATTCAAACGTTTGAAGAAACTATTAACATAATTTTTATAATTACAAATAATATTATTTTCGTATGATAATTACATTACACAAACGTAAGATTCCGAAAAATCTGTTGTTTATATCCAAAGAATTATTTTTTTCAGAAAGGAACCATCGGACGTCGGAACCTGGTTGCTAAGTGCCCCCGCTGACGTAACGCGTTGTTTTATGCGATACTTGTTTGCATCAAGTATTTCTTCCAGGTTTGTTGTGTTGTAGTTTTTCTTGCATTTACTTCCGTCAACATTTAACACCATCTGTGAAGTGTAATATTTGGCAAAACAGACCGCACCACAAACTAAACATCGGATGCGTCGTAGAGGGTAATTAACGTGGATTGCCAGAGTATGTGATCTAAGTACATTCGATAACGTCCGACAACAAAATTTAATCCATACTTACAGAACGCTAACTGCTCAAGTAAACGTGCGCACATAGCTTACCTGCCAAAGCGAGAACTCGAAGGCAGAAGACGGCGATTGTACGTAGGAAAATTGTCATACTCGTAGTAGTTAATGTTTCGCGCAGACAAATTAATGATTGTACTTGCACTCTATTATAATCCTGGACCAAATTCTAACGACCTCTAAACTTGCAGGACGGTCGAAAACCGAAAGCTCACCTTCGGCTTGCGCTCTCCGCCTGCATTTGCAGGCTGCTCCAAGAAATTAATTCACTTCCGCGCGGTTGAAATATCAATAACCGTTAAAGCCTACAAGATAAACTATCGCGTATGCACGACCTTCTGACGTTCTCTTACACAACTGTCGCGAACTATGCGAATTAACTTAAACTATGAACACGAGGGGATACATTTCCGGTTTTTCCCTCTGCTGGTCGCCAGTACTCAATGACGCAATATTATTTTCACTCTCTCTATGCTACTTACGCAGTGTAAGGAAAGTACTGTAATGCTTCAGACAAAACGGCGACTTTTCGACAGAAAATAACATTTTGTGGATCCTAATACGTTTCTCGTATAAACGTCGGTCCTATAAAAAATTTGCAGTTTTTTCAAAATATGGCATAAAACTGTTTAATTATTCTCTCAGATAGAACAAAAAGCTATTATAAAATTTAAAATTGGAGTATTTTCACGTAATTTAGCGCGAATTATAGGGAATTCAAAATAATTTTCCCCAAAACAGCTTCAAATTGTTTAATTGATTTTTACTTCCACGTTTTCTAAAAATACCATTGGCGGCAAAACTGAAGTCTGTCGGTCACTCTGTGGTCAACGCTAGTGTTGAAACCGATCAAACGCTGTGGTCAAAACGAATATTACCTGATCAATCTAAACGATTTCGAGTGAGTTTGAAACCTATTTTGATTTTTGGAGGTTATTTACATAAAGCCTCAACATTTTCAAAATTTTATCTAAAAGGGCTCCAAATTCTTTTTTAAAAATTTGTTCATGATACGCGAAAAGAACTCTTCAAAGGGTGGTGCATGTCCCATTTTCGTTGTGAAGAAAGGATTTTTTCCTTAATACAATCTGTTCTTCAATAACGGATCTTGAAATAAGGTCATGAATTTTTTTTAAAAAAGTAGTTTTCCCCAAATGTTGCATGAAATAGACAATTTTTAAACAATTATTTTCTCGAAAAAGCTCTTTTTTCTACAAATTGTCTCCTCATATGCGACAAAGAAAAGTAAAAAAACGGTGTTGGTCACATTTTCGTCGAACTGTCTGTATTTCCGAAAATTGAAAAACTTAACACTGCAAAAGAACAACATTTAAGGTAGATATTTCTGTCTAATAAGATCGATTCTAAAAAATAGATCTTCACATAAGATTATGTACAATTTTTTGAAAAACCTAGAAGTTTTCGAGTAATTTCTATTTAAAATT